AGTTTCTACTGTGTCTAAACGGTCCCCGGGTTTTGGGATAGGCCCCACATAAGGGTACCTCCCAATATTCGGTATTTTGAGGGTTTTAGCCACATTTTACGTGGATTTGGTTAAAAATTGGTATTTGTATTTGGGTTGGTATAGATTCTAACTCCGGTGGCGGAACATGATATTCACGTTCACGTTTTTGTATAGCCCCGTATAAAAGTACCTCCCGATATTCGGTATTTTGAAGATTTAAGCCACATTTCCCAATGGATTTGTGTACTTGTACTTAATAATAGGTTCTACAACCGGTGCCAAAACTATGTCCATATTGGTCGGTTTTATACAAATTGTCAGTATTTGATATATATACCGATATTTGGTATTTTGATAACCCAAGTCACATTTACCCTCGAAATTGTTATACGGGCGCCATACCAAAACGGTACGAACTTAATGTCTTTTTATTTCTTATATTTTAAGGTAGCGACTGTATTGTCTATACAGGGTGAGGTAAAAAAAAAAAACTGCAACAAAGTCAAAATCCATAATTTTTACATTTTCTTTTTATACCCTACAACATTATGTGTTGGGGGTATTATAAGTTTGATTGGGCCAAAAATTATGTAACACCTCGAAATATTGGTTTTCCACATAGGAAAGTATATATGGATCTTCCTATCTCGCCGAGCTGAGTCGATCTAGCTATGCATGTCCGTCCGTCCGTCAGTCCATGTTAATTTGTAATCACTCAACAGGTCGCAATTATGGCCCGATCTTCACGAAATTTAGAATGATGCTAGATCCAGCATAGAAGCCTATTGCTTTTGGAGATGATCGCATAATGTTTGAAATGGACCAAAAACTGAAATGTTTCCTGATTTTGCAGTTGCTCTACAGGTCGCAATTATGGACCAATCGACGCGGAAGTTAGCATGGGGCTAGAGCTTAGGGTTGGGCAGAAGCCTTCCAATTTTGATAGTCATCGGGTAATATTTAGTGGGCGAAATAGATCATAACATTTGTGTTAAATAAAAGTCAAATTGTCCAGTAAAACGCGAATATTTATAATACCGGTGAAATCGCAAATATACAAACAGGTCAATTTTGACCGTTACGTAGATGCCGACAGTAAATATATCAGATATATATATAGCGTAATACATACAATGGGTATATACAAAGGAAAGGGATGTTAGCTAGTATGCTTATAACTCAAGAATGGCTGGACCGATTTTGACAAATTTTGCCAATTCAGAATGCCCCCTTGGCATGAAAGTATAAGACCTAAAAAAATTGCATAAGAAGATGCCAGTAATGATGTTAATAGAGATTTTATAGTATTTTGTGACATATTTTTATTTTTTTATATTTTTTATTGCATGAGATTTTTTCAATTTGACTTAATATATTGAAGTGTATATTTTGTAATATTTTTTCACCTTACAATACAGGTTGGGGTTACTATATATAGATTGCAATTATAGTCCGATCCTCACGAAAATTTTCTCAAGGGTAGAGTTAGGCTCAGAAGGGCTAGGCCGGCCTATTGTTTTCAAAGATGTCCGCAATGTATTAAGGGGTTGGAATGGACCAACAAAAATGTTCCTGATTTTGCAGGACACGAAATCTCGCATGAAGTTAGAGTTTCGGACAGCGGGAAGAATGGACCACCACTTTTGTGCGAAAAAAATACCAACACTACTTACGGGCGATATCCGAAATACACAAAAGACTTTTTCATGCTTATTTCGTTGACGAATATAGCCAAATATCGTAGACAAGCAAATCATATAGATGAGTCTGAATTTGGAGATACAGTGGGGCGTCTTGATTTTGGAGATGATCGCAAAATATTGGGGGGTTCAAATGAATCAAAACAGAAGAAAAAATCCTCATCGCACAATTGAAGCCAATCGACACGCCTGAGAAGAGAGTTAAGGACAGGGAAGAATCCGAGCATTTTGGATGACCATTGGATTATATTCAGCTGTAAAATGTAAATCTGGGCTGTGCTCCGTGACATAATTTTAAAACCGAAATCTTCCAAAATTGGTTTGTACATAAAGGGTCTTCTAACATGTAGTAGTGTTGTAGGGTATCACATCGTCGGCTCCGCAAGACTATAGCCTTTGCTTACTTGTTTTTAAATTTTATTGAATGACAGCAACAAATGTCGGGAATAGCATCGAATTTTAAAATACGTTTAGATTTCTTTGGCACGAATTATGGCCTTTAAACGGTCAATGAAACCGTCACACGCTAGCCGAATGTTGCTCTGTCTTATTTTGGCCCATTCCCGGCAAAACGCTTGCTTGAGTTGATCGACACTTTGATATTTTTTAGTGCCAACCGTGCTTTCCAAAATACTCAAGAACAATAGTCCAACGGTTTAGAATCCGAAACCTTATTTTTTGGCACGTGCTGAGTGCGATGTGCTGAGTCCTGTTGGAATGTCCAAAGTCTGCGGACAAAATGTTTGCGTGCCCAAGACTTAAATACACCCTCCAGAATATTTTCGCCATAATATTTGGCATTTATTCTGATGTCACGGTCGATTAATTCGACTGTTATGGCGGCCCACACCATCATCATGGCGCTTCAGTTCTGGTGGCCAACCGAAGGTGCACATTTTCAGCTGACCTCTTTGGCAGGTAAACACGATCATTTTGTTTGTTTACAAACTGCTGGACAACGAATGTTTTCTATCGGAGAAAACCAAATTCGACAGTTCACCTCTTTCCGCCAAGCGAAGCAACTCTTTAGCTCTTTGGAGTATATTTTCTTCCTGTTGCGGTGTAAGTTCTTGCACTTTTTGGAATTTCATAGGCTTTACCCCGAACTCATTTTTCAATATTTGCCGAATGGAATATTGCGATATGTTCAGCTCACGAGCCATTGTCTGGGCACTGCTACGTGTGTTTCGATCAAGTCGCTTCTTTACTTTTCGAACCATTTCTGCTGACGTTGTTGTTTTCTTCCGTCCACTATCTTGAGGTCGGGCTACGCTAACAGTATCACGGTAACGAGCGATGATACGAGACACAAAAGATTTATTCACATTTAGGTGCTGGAGTGCTGTAACGATAGCCATTTGTGGTTTTCCAGCCAAATATAAAAAAATTACACTATCACGCCTGAATTTTTTTTTTGGGACATTCTCACCGAAATGCTTTTGTACGCTTGTAAACAATATAATGAGCTGTCACAGGAATAATTTTAACAGCTGTCGGACGAGTTGCTTAAAAATGGCAGTTGGTTGCAGGTTTTCATCTCTCCCTGTATACCCTCTCTAGCCATATGGCTGATGGTATAAAGAAAAAAAAAAAAAAAATAAATGAATAAAAAAACCAGTAAGGAAATTCTTAAAGTCGGGCGGGGCCGACTTTATGATACCCTACACCACTTTGCTAATTTAGTAGAGCTCCACATAACAATTAAAAGTTTTTATGGGAGAGTTCAATCATACACGCTATGATTATAATTATAATTAGCATTAGAAGCATTTGTATCTTTAAAATTCGGACTTGTATTGCCCATTTGGTGCACAAATAATTTAAAATCGGATAAAAATATATATGGGAGCTATATCCAAATCTGAACCTATCTCGATAAAATTTGGCAAAGATATTTCTGAGCTGTATTTGATATATTTCCCTGAATATCGTTGTTATGGAGTGCATATTACGGTTGTGGGTAACAAATACTAGAAATCGGATGAACAATATATATGGAAGCAATAGCTATATCTGAACCGATCTTCACCAAATTTGACATACTAGCTTCTAGACTCAAATCGGTCGTACGTGCCAAATTCCACCCCATTTAGACCAATATTAGACGTTTGGTGAACAATAAGATGTAAATCGGACGAAGTTATATATGACAGCTATATCCGAATCTGAACCGATCTCGATAAAATTTGGCAAATGTATTTCTGAGCTGTATTTGATATATTTCCCCAAATATTGTTGTTGCAGAGTGCATGTTACGGCTGCGGAGGACAAAAATAACAAATCAAATGAACAATATATATGGGAGCTATATCTGAACCGATTTCGATCAAATTTAAGTATGCCAAATTTTCAGGCCTAATTTGGGTGTATATGCAAAAGTCCATACAATTAGGGCTGATATTACACGTTTGGTGCACAATAAAATGTAAATCGGACGAAGATATATATGGGAGCTATATCTAAATTTTGAACGATAATCTCCAATTTGAATAGGGTTCGTCCTTGGGCCAAACAAATGATCTGTGCAAAATTTCATCTGGATCGGGCAATAAATGCGACCTGTACTTTGTTTACAAAAATACATGAACAGACAGACGGACGGACATGCATAAATCGACTCAGAATGTGATTCTATGCAGATCATCAAAAGGAACTATGGGTCTATCTCATTTCCTTTTGCCTATTACAAACAAATGCACAAAGTCATAATACCCTGACCACCTTGTGGTGTAGGGTATAAAAATAATAAACAATTTTTAAAGGAATCCACTTAAATATATATATTGTCCCCGCAATTTCCGGAAGTCCCTCGTTTTATCTATATTAGAAAACTCAGTGAAAGCACCCACTGAAATGAAAGCTCATTTGTTATTCAACAAATGACAACTGTAGCTCAATGTGGTACAACACAACACAAGACAGCACTCACACATACACATGCACCTAGGCTGGCATTCATGAATTTATTCCCTACAGCAACGAAAAAAGAGGAAAATAATAAACAACAAACATGTTTGTTATGAACAGAAAAAAACAACGCACATACATACACTCTGCTTCTCACACACACAATCAAAGGCAAGACGACGACGACGACACATAATTTTTGGTGCAATATAGAATAGAAAGAATAAATGTCGATTATAGACGACGAGACAAGACGAGACGAGACGACAACAATAGAGGAGGATGGGTAAAACACGATAACAAAAAGAAAAATGAGAAGGAGGAGAAGGACAAAAGAAGCGAAACATGAAGAACAAGAACAAGCAAACCAGCTGTACCAGAGTCGGAGCAAAAAATGCCAACAGAAAAATAATGAAAAAGACATTTTCGCGCTGATTTCAGTTATCAACAAAACGAGCAACAGCAAACAAGTCGCCCAGCTAGTAGTCATTCGAATATACCGAAGAAGACACAATCGTTCAGCGTCGCATAACGCGTATCTAAGAGTTGTCGTATTTTTCGGATTACAACGACATATGGAGATTTAAAAGCCAGATAAATGATTTCGTAGAAAACGGTGTAAACCCATTTTGGAATTTCGCTAAAAAGTAGTTTGTAGTGAACACATAAGCAAACAAAGAAATAAGCGGGAATTATTAAAAAAACAAGACGACGCGTAAATTGAAAATTATTGCAATTTGAGTGTGGAAAATATAAGAAAAAAATATTGAAAAAAATACATACATATATCGAAAAATTGGAATTTTCTTTTGAGAAAATTCGTTTCTAATAAAATCTAGAAAAAAAAATATTGAAAATTGTGTCGACAACATATTGAGAAATTTTAGTGTCTTCTTTGTTTTTTTGAAACACAAAATTCTGGAATAAAAAAAATTCACCCAGTGCCTGTCCCTAAAAAATAATTTTGTAAAATTAAGTGTCGAAAAAGAAATTGGTCTTCTGCATTGGTGAAAATTACAAATTTAAAACTAAATTCTAAAACTTAGAATTTGTGTTGTTGTTGTTATTGTGTTGTTTTGTTTTGTCTGCCGTCCTAAATGAAAGACAATCAAAAAGGTAAAAAAATGCTTCATTTTCATAATTTTTTTGTATTGAAATTCTAAAAAATAAAACAAAATCGCTTAATTATTTTTAAGAACTCTGGTGAAATTTGAAAAAAAAAAAACTCATTTCATGATATTAAAATTTAATTGAATTGTTTTCAAAGTGTTTAGAGCGTGCGTCCCTCACACATTGTTGGCATTTCACAAACAATTACTGTAATTTTTTTTGTTTAATTTTATAAACAATTTCTTGATTTGTTTGAAAATCTGCAGAGAGTGGTTTGACATGACGGGTGGCAATTTGAAATAAATAAATTATTTTAACAAAGGAAATTGACATCAGAAATGCTAAATTCGTAATTTTTTAACAAAAATGTGGCTTTAAATTTGCTGTGGAAATAATTTTTGAATTTTGTTGACTTAATTAATTGCAAAAAAACCCTCAATTTGTGTCCAATGTTGCGTATTAACAATATTCAACACGGATTGCGTATACAACATGATGGATATTATTATAAAAACTATTTGGAGAAAATCTTAAGCGAAGAAACAGGTAATTATATATAACCGCCGCTCCGATAGAGTTGAATAGAAAGAGAACGTGTGTGCTCTGTGGGAGAAATGTGTGATTTTTTTTTTTGGTGAAGAACGACCAACAGGTGAACATTTTAAATTGGAAAGTATGACTTACATGGAAAATTGATAATCTGAAAATCTCCGAGAACATTAATTGCAAAAATTGAAGTTCAAATGCTTTGTGAATGGGAAAGAGAACTTCAAAGTACCTTAAATCGTTAGGTACAATTCAATGGGAGATATAGCAAAAAGTGTACCCTTATGTACACCTTGTTTTGAAGAAGCTTCCTTCCTCAGCAAAGTGGCATTATAAGTGGTCTGTTTTAAATTTATTAAATTGCCACGGATTCTACTGTAATGTTTTTATTCTTCTTCAAGTGCCCGGAAATTAGAAGCGTGGAAGTGGAGCTTCTGTTAAAAAATTTAAAAAATACCAAATTTAAATTAGGGTCTATACGACGCCATGGACCTGCATAGACAAGTTTTGTCATAAGCCATTACAATAATCAAATGCGAAACTTAAAAAAAATCGCTGAATAATGTCGCTAAATTCATCAAAATACCGAATAACGGAAGGTACCCCTATTAGGGGGGGGGGTCTATACGAAGACGTGTACTTAATTTTCAGTCATATGCTGTAGTAGCCATTACGAACTTCAAATACCAAATTCGAAACAATTCCGGTGAATAATGTCGCTAAGATCATCAAAATACCGTATATCGGAAGGTGCCGTTATATGGTGGCTATACGAAGACGTGAACCTGCATAGTCAATTTTCAGTCATATGCTGTAGTTGCCATTACGAACTTAAAATACCAAATTTGAAACAATTCCGGTAAATAATGTAGCTAAAATCATCAAAATATCAAATATCAGGAGGTACCGTTATATGGGGGCTATACGAAGACGTGGACCTGCACAGAAAATTTTCTGTCTTAGGCTGTAGTGTCCATTACGAACTTCAAATGCCAAATTTGAAACAATGACCAACATGGCCCATTTTCAATACCAAAAGACCTGCAGTCATAATATACGTTCGTTTGGAAGCAAGAGACATCGCTTAATCGAAATAGGATTTTATGCTGATCAAGAATATACAGGGTCAGATAAAAAAAAAAACTGCAACAAAGTCAAACGCCATAATTTTTACATTTTTTTTAATTTTATTGAATGAAAGCAAAAAAAAAAGGTCGGGAATAGCATCAAATTTTAGAATAAATTTTAGATTTGTTCGAATTGGTCACCTTTGGCACGAATTATGGCCTTCAAACGGCAAATGAAACCGTAACACGCTGCCCGAATGTTGCTCTGCGGTATTCTGGCCCATTCCCGGCGAAGCGCTGATCGACACTTTGGTATTTTTTAATGCCAACCTTGCTTTCCAAAATACTCCAGACACAATAGTCCAACGGATTGGTATCCGGAGATTTTGGTGGCCATTGTGCGCTGGAAATGAAGCGAGGAACTTGATTTTGTAACCATTCTTGGGTGGCGCGTGCTGAGTACGATGGTGCTGAGTCCTGTTGGAATGTCTTAATATAGCTTTCATACACCCTCCAGAATATTTTCGCGATAATATTCGGCATTTATTCTGATGCACAAATCATTTGTTTGGCCCAAGGACGAACTCTATTGAAATTGGAGATAATCGGTCAAAATTTAGATATAGCTCCCATATACATCTTCGTCCGATGTGCCTTTTACTGTGCACCAAACGTGTAATATCAGTCCGAATAGTATGGAATTTTGCACGTACGATCAGATTGGACCTGAAAATAAGTATGCCAAATTTGATCGAAATCGGTTCAGACATAGCTATAGCTCCCATATATATTGTTCATCCGATTTGTTATTTTTGTCCTCCGCAGCCATAATATGAACTCTGTAACAACAATATTTGGGGAAATATATCAAATACAGCTCAGAAAAACATTTGCTAAATTTTATCGAGATCGGTTCAGATTTGGATATAGCTCCCATATATAACTTCGGCCGATTTACCTTTGATTGTGCACCACACGTGTAGTATTTGCCCAAATTGGATGAAATTTGGCACTTACGACCGAATTGAGTCTAGAAGCTAGTATGTCAAAATCGGTTCAGATATAGCTATAGCTACCATATATACTGTTCATTCAAATTCTAACAGTTTCGTATGTCTACCAAAATATCCTCCAGGTTTTCGATACTTTCCCCTTATAACAAATTCTATTTTTCTCAAATCTTTTCAAACCATGTCATTAAGAGCTTTATTATGTTGTCCGAGAATTCCTAATAAAATTTCGTGGTCATCAAATGGAGACCACAATTTCATGTGGTTTTATTGCATTGGTGGCCAGGACCGACCTGCATGCGGTCTCATCTTTTGGCAATAAATGACATATTCACCGAACTAACGAACTGTATGACGTCTTGTCAACAACATAAAAATTCGTTTATGTTTGAGGCAAATGACAACTAATAATCATAAAATCATGTGTGAGTGTGTGCGTGTGAATAGAGAAATAGTAACAGCAGTTGTTATTATTATGGTCATGGAGCCACTCTACCCCTCCCCACCTCTCCTAAATCAGTGCTAGGGTGAATGTTAATTGCTTGATTGCTGTCATTTCGTTTGGATTTTTCCTAATAATGATGGTAGATTTGGTGTACCACAACATTTACGTGCGTAAATTATATTTTGGCCACTTTTCATAGAAATCCCCTAAATGGGAAATCTTTCGACGCCACCACATCCATTTACAGTTGTGTCCATGTTACTGGTTAGCCAAAAAATCTCAGTTCGTCAAGTGGAAGGCAGAGCGGTGGAGAAAAAGTCTGTCATTAAATTGAAAATCCAATGCGTTTGCTATTGCCAGTTTCCCTCCATGTTTAATGTGATTAATTTTCTATTTTATTGCTCTGCTCTTTGTGGAGGACGGAAGGGGTGTCAAGTCGTCAGCGAGAAGAAGAAAAAAAAAAAAAAAAGAAAATATATGGCAATGTTACGCGTTAACCATGTTGTGTGAAAGTGTTGCTGCTGAAAAGCGCTTGCAATGTTTGTCCGACAATGGAGGAAGTGTTGCAGCCAACAACAAATCAAACATTCGCACATACTTCACTGATCCGGCAAGCAAGTAGTAAACAAGCAGCCACATGTTGTGGGAGAATTCGAATTTTATAGACCTTATGGAATTTTTTGAAAGACAAAAAGTTTGGGCGAAATGAATTTCTTGAGGTCTTCTTTATATAGAAGATCTTCTTCATGTCTTCCATGGATATTAGACCTTCTTAAGCCCCCTGTAGCTAGAAGACGTTCAAGAGGTCTTTAACATATAAAAGATCTTGAGGTCTTCTATAGTTAGAAGACCTTCTTAAGGTCTACTATATCCAGAAGACCTTCTCGAGGACTTCTATAAGTAGAAGACCTTCTTCTTCTTCTATAGCTAGAAGACATTCTTGAGGTCTTCTATAGCCAGGAGGTCATACTGAGGTCTACTATAGCTAGAAGACCTTCTCAAGGTCTTCTATAGCTAGAAGCTTGGATACCTTCTAGAGGAGACCATCTTGAGGTCTCCTATAGCTGGAAGACATTCTTGAGGTCTTCTATAGCTAGAAGACCTTCTCAAGGTCTTCTATAGCTAGAAGGTCTTCTGGAGGATGTCTATAGCTAGAAGACCTTCTGGAGGTCGTCTATAGCTAGAAGCTTGAATACCTTTCAGAGGAGACCATCTTGAGGTCTTTTATAGCTAGAAGACCTTCTTGAGGTCTTCTATAGCTAGAATACCTTTTCGAGGTCTTCTATAGCTAGAAGACATTCTTGAGGTCTTCTAAAGCTGGAAGACCTTTTTGAGGTCTTCTATAGCTAGAAGACATTCTTGAGGTCTTCTATAGCTGGAAGACCTTCCTGAGGTCTTTTATAGCTAGGAGACCGTCTTAAAGTCTTCTATAGCTAGAAGACTTTCTGAAGGTCTTCTGTAGCTTGAAGAGCTTCCTGGGGTCTTCTATAGCTAGAAGACCTTTTCGAGGTCTTTTATAGCTAGAAGACATTCTTTAGGTCTTCTAAAGCTGGAAGACCTTATTGAGGTCTTCTATAGCTAGAAGACATTCTTGAGGTCTTCTATAGCTAGACGACCTTCTCAACGTCTTCTATAGCTAGAAGACCTTCTTGAGGTCTTCTATAGCTAGAAGACCTTCGGGGGGTCTTCTATAGCTAGAAGACCTTTTGGAGGTCTTCTATATCTAGAAGACCTTCTCAAGGTCTTCTATAGCTAGAAGACCTTCTTGAGATCTTCTATAGCTAGAAGACCTTCTTGAGGTCTTTTATAGCTAGAAGACCTTCTCAAGGTCTTCTATAGCTAGATCATCTTCTTGAGGTCTTCTATAGCTAGAAGACCTTCTTGAGGTCTTCTATAGCTAGAAGCTTGAATACTTTCTAGAGGAGACCATCTTGAGGT